TATAAATAGGGTCTTCTACATTGTAATATTTACAAGACCATAATAATACAATTTATATTTCTTGACAGTTCACGAGGTCATGCTTGAGAGAAATGGGGTGCTATAGTAAAAGCAAATTGGATAGAGAAATTTGAAGTGGATGAGGTTTGAATATAGAAACTAATCGAAAAAAGGCCAGGTGGAACTAGTTATGACTAGTTTAAGGGTATGTTAATAAATTTTAATTTCGTGTGTGCTTCTATTATTGACATGCACGAGATCCCTGTGCAGAATACTTGAAATCAGACCAAAATAGCGAAACAAGGGGTTCTTGGTTTCAGGAATCATAAATGAATTTTCAAAAGCACTGAGCGGAGTTCAGGATATCAGCCTTTTATTGAACAGATATAATTCGTTTTGTAGGAGACAAATCTACATCAGCTTAGCACATATTTATTTGCCAAATAAATGTTTGACGAAAGCGTAAATAGAATTTTCCCGACTCTTCAAACTATAAAATGCCGTATCTATACATTTGATTAAATGCACACGAAATTATAATAGTCAAGAACTGTAGAGCACCCATTTATTCCCAGTACACTATCTAAAGAAATAATTGAGCAAGTCAGTTCCTAAAGTTAAGACATCCCCTAACTCCGTGATGTATAAAATCAACTCTTTCAAGGGTTCTTAAGATTATAATCAATGGTAAAGAAGATAAATTAAGAAAGTACCTGGTCAATATCTCGGACAGGGTTTCCATAACTAGCAGGATTTGCCATTCCATCTGAAACAAATCGAGGGTAGCCACCGGATAAACCTACTTGTCCCAATCATCCGTATAGTCTCCATAGATGAGTCCAATCCAGAATCCTTTGGCCTATCATCAACTTCACCCCCAAATTAAAATCTTCGAACAAAACTTCAGCCAATTTTCTCACCAGATCTTGGAAAAACTCACCCCAAACTTCGATTTACTGATAATTTTTGCAATGATCCAACAAAATTGTTACTGATCCACCGAAGATTTACAAAAGAATCCACCAAATTGGAATGTGAATTAGGTTTGTAGAGAGAGAGGAGGAGATATAGAGAGAGAGAAAGAAAAGTGAGAGGAAGTGACCCAAGTTTAGGAGAATGTTTGCAGTTGAACAGAAATGGATGCGATTTTGGCGCTTATTTTGCCTCCTTAACTACCTTACAAATAATACAAAATACAAACTCCATAAAATATTAATAATTAATTTATGAATAAATATTGTGTCTCGACCAATGCGGAGGACGCATTAGTATGGTTGAGTGGGGGCACTACAAGAAACTTCACTTTAACAACGATTTTGATTTTGATTTTTTTTTTTTGCATAAGAAGTCATTTTTGGGTCGTTTCCGGAAAAAGGGATTGTTGGGAACGATTTCAAGAAAAAAATTTCGTCAAAAGTAGAACGTTTTGTAGGGTAGACTCTTTGGCTCTTTCTATCCTTAGCCGCCTTCAACTCACCAAAAATGGAAAAGTCTTTTAACCCCTGTTTGGTGCACATCTTGAGTCCAAGAATGCATTTTTTTGTTTGATTTGATGGGGAATATGTGGTTGAAAATGAAGGAAAATGTACTGATGTGATAAAAAAAATGTGATTGAAAAATGAGTAGAAGAATGATAATAATAAAAAAATAATAATGTGGCTCAAACATGAGCTTATACGGTAAGTATATGTGTGTATATGTTCGACTCCTATGTGTGTATATGTTCGACTCCTATGTATGTATATGGAAGTCAATGAAAATCGTTGTTTAAAGATAATATGTTTATTATACGATTTAAACTAAAAAATCTAATCAAAATTAAAGTTCCATTATGTTTTTTTGGTACGAATGTGTTTAATCTCCAATATTCACCTCCTCATTGTTTTGCTTACTTGGCATAGTAAATAATAACAATAAATGTAAATAACAATGCTTTCAATGAGAGATCACTAATGCAAGGGTTATAACCTCTAAACCCAATAAGTCTTATGATCCTATTCCATTCACTTTAGTTTAATTTATTTCTTATATTCGTTTTCAATTACATATTCACATAATAAAATATTATACACGTAAATTCAAAATATTTCTTTATTTTTTAACCATACATTCTCAAAAGTATACTATTCAGATCCATGTTGTTATAATTTTAAGGCCACCAAACAGGGGTTAAATCTTTGACATTAACTTTTTTTTTCAAGACCCAGCCCACGTAATTCCCACTTAATCGTTCCTACTTTCCTTCCCCCAATTTTCGTAATCTCAATTCTCAAATCCCAGCCTACTGCTTGCGTGCAATTCCAACTCAGATTGCACAAAATATTTTGAAAGAAGAAGAGTAAATTGAAAAAGCAAAATTTTGTAATTCCTCTCTCTTTCTTAATCTTATTATTTATTTTTTGATAATTATTTTTGTTCTTGGATAAGTCATAAGTATTAAGTGGGGTTTTCACTTTCGTTTGTTTTGATCTTGAATAAATGTTTTAATTCTGCTTAAATATCCAATTTCATAATTTTGTGAGTGTATTGATTTGTGTTAAGGCATATGAACTGTGTATTTATTTGTGTTTAATCAATTATTATTATATTTGGGAATACTTTCTTTATTTCTTTAAGTAGTTGGTTTTTTATGCCAGCTTTATTTGGCCCATGTTTGTCTATAATTATTTCAAAAAAAATTTTTGCTACAGTAAGATTTTCTACCAGACATTCACCAAATAAAATATTCTATACACAAATCAATAACGTTATTTTACTTTTCAACCACACATTCTAAAAAAACTATTCATTACTATATTTTTCTCCCAATAATGGGAGACAAACACACCATTGATTTATAAAAAGATATGTAGAGATATTTTAAATGAATATTTCAAATTTCTATTGAGGAAAATGTTGAGGTAAAGAAATTATTTATTGAGGAAATTTCTAATGAATAAAATGTCGAGTTAAAAGATGCAAGTATTGATGATGCTACTACTGAATAAAATGATGAAACAAATTAAACAAGTATTGATGAAACTGATTTTCAAGAAAATGATGAGGTGAAGAAAACGAGTATTTATCATATAGATGTTGCACAACTTCTTACAGATTTCGAATTAAGAATTAAAGTATTGAAATTGATAACGAGACTATTATACTTCATTTTTAAATTATGAGAAATCGTAAGGAATAATTGGAAAAAAGTACTATGCTTTGAATATTAAATATTATTATTATTGTCTAATTCGAAATTATTTTTCACGTCTCGGCCTGCTGAACCAAAATCATGGATCCGCCCCTAACTCAACCATTTGACTCCAAAGGTTACCGCTTGACTCTACCCCTAACTCAACAATTTGACTCCAAAGGTTACCGCTTGACTCTAACTACTCCAAAGGTTACCGCTTGACTCTAACGGTAGTCGATAAACTCACTGTCCGATAAAGTTGTGATACGTTTTAATGAATAACATTATTTATTGATCAACGGTCGGCTTGTAGTCGACTACATGCAAAAAAATGAAAGACGAAGGCAATGCAAAAACTTTATTTAACTCAAAAGGAAAACCACATTACAGCTGCCGGATTACAGAGTGCAAGTAAAGGCTACACAGCCTTAATTATTTTCATAACACAGAATTAAACATTAACAGAGAAGCCATTCTTTCTTTCACACTACAGTTTTAATCACATCCCAAGCATATTCCATGGCCTTGGGCTTCTCAAGTGACCTGCTGGAAGAACTGGAACTGGAACTGAAAAGTGTGGATTCATCCCGACTGAACTTCAAAGACTGGGCTTCTTGCTTCGAAACTTGATATGCATTTGTCAAAACTTCTAACGGCATCGACCGGAACGCAGACAGCCTTCCCGCAAGTGGGCTAATCATGGCATTGTCATTAGTTTTAAAAGCTATCCACTCGCAGCCTTGATCGCCGGCCTTCTTTATCACGACGAAGTTCTGTGGGATTATAATCAGCTGCTTTTCTTTGACCTCGCCGTCGAAAACCAGATTCCCGGAGTGACCCACCACCTGTAATCGGGTGCTTCCTCTGGTTATGTAGATTACAGAGTGGGCGTTCACGTTCCAGTGAGGAGCCATTATCGCATTCTGTTGCACACAAAGTTTTTGATGAAATTAGTACATGAAATAATGCTTTGGTAGTGGAAAAGGGATTAATTCAGTTTACCCTGTACAGGACGCCTTTTACAGCACTAAGCTGCAGAAAGTTGAGTATGGGAAGTGTTTGACTATTGAGGGTGGCGAGACGGCCAGCACGGGGGTTGTAAACATCAGCGCGTGATGGGTGAGCTAAGTTCTCCCTCAACCTCATAGTGCACAGAGTTTCCTCCAAGCCATTTCGTCCTCCTTGGCCTTGCTGACCCTGCTGGCCCTGCTGCTGCTCCTCTTGTCCTTCCCGTGGGAAGACAACATTAAACTTCTCAGCTTTCACAATTCGGCCCCTCTGATCCTTTTCACCTTTTAATCTCCTAATTGTTTCTGTCTCTACATTGTAAACATCCGCCAGAACTTCATCAGTAAAGCCAGTGAAGATGTTTTTACTTGGGTTCTCACCCTCGCTCTGACTCTCTTCTTGTTGCTGGCCTTGGCTTTGTTGCGGATTCCGATTTCCAGCAAGGAAGAAATTCTGAAAAACATAAATAGTAATAAGTGAAATTTTTGATAAAATCCCGAATAATATTGCTTACCAAGAAATTTCTGATATTCTTACCCTGAATTGGAGATCAAGCTGGTTCATTTCGTTAGCAGTGTCAAGAAGTGACACAGTAACAAGCTGCTCTTGTCCATTGTTATAAAGCCAAAGAGTTATACCCGGCGGCAAGGCAAGAACATCTCCCTGTCTGAATTGCCGAACCTTCTGATGTCGGTCGAAAAACTGCTGCTGACTTTCCGATCCTTGCTCGGATCCTTGCTGCTGCTGCTGCATTTCTGTTTCAAATGTCTCAGCACAACCCGGAATTACAGCTCCTAGAAGACCCTGTCCTGAATTGATCAAAACCCGTAACATATCATTTTCATTAGTCTCCAAATCAAAATACACTTAGCAGTTAACATAAACCAACGGAAAGTAGAGAAGGAAAAATGATTTGCCTTGTACTACATAGATGAGTTGAGCAACATTATTGTAGTGAGGCATGAATAGGCCATTTTGATGAATAGAAGTCCTAACAGCTGCAACACCGGCGCAATCGAACTGCTTGTCGTTCTGGTCCCAGTACTCAGCATATCCAGCCTCCGAGTCATACCTCCGAGTTGGTTCTTGAGCGGTGAGTCTCTCAATTCTGCAATCAGTTTTGGCCCTCAGCCTGTGTTGCTGCTGCTGCTGCAACTTCTGCCATAGGAATTGTTGCTGGCTGCCCAATTGGGCAAGGCAGCCTCCAAAGAGAGAGAGCAAGGTAAAACTAAGAAAAAGCAAAGAAAGTTTAGCCATGGCTATGTCTGTGCACTCTACTGTGTATACTAGATATCGATCGATGTGAAGCGGTGAATGGAAATGGTTGGAATTTATAGCAGAGAGTTTGAGGTTTGGAATTGACACGTAAACGTGAGTGTACAGAGTAGTGAGACATTTGGCTTCTCTTCTGCATGAATTTGCACCATTTTGGTTACACCTAATAGTTTTGGTGTTGGGGTATGTGGCGATTTGTGCCTGCTTGTATATGCATGGCTAATTGTTTTGTTCTGGTGCTGGAATCTGGACCCTTGTTTTCGACTAGTTCACTTATTTGTTTTGAGTGCTTTTTACGACCGCAGTAAAATGACCCTTATATGACTTGTTCAAAAAATCAGAAATGACCTCTATGGAATATGCAATAAATAAACTACCAACAAGATTTCTCATTTTTCTATTTGAATAATGTTATTTAGTCCTGCTGAGATTGTAACCATGATTTATGTGGGGTTAATATAACATTAAATAATAAGTTAAATTAAACTGGTAATTTAATTTCACTTTTTATATAGTTTATCACCTAACACCACGTAGATTACGGTTATAACCCCACTAGGACTACATAACATTATTCTTCTATGATTTTCCTCATCTTTAGTTAACTTGAGTATATGAGTGCTCAACGCTTTTGATTTTCCCATACGAAAATGATTTATTAAACTTGCTGCGTAAACTTTTGAGAGATAAAATAACCCTCTTAACTTTTCAACTTCCAAGCCAAGAAAACAAAACTTTACCCAAATTTTTCATTTCAAATCGGATAAGCAAATCACCTTTGTTTCAATACCTAAAAATCGAATCACCGTTGTATTAATATAAAATTTGTCATAAGAGATTTACCTTTGACTCCTATCAGTTGACACAAATTTTAAATCTTATCTATCACTATCTTAGTAAAATACACATATTGAGCCTCTAATAAAAATTCACACTGCAAGAATAAATTACTCCACCATCACGAGCAGATCATGGCCACCGGTTGAATTTAGTGAGAACTAGGTTTTAGTTTTTAACCTAGGGTGGGGGGAAAGGGTGGAGGGAAAGGGTGAACTGTATTTTGGGATTTTTTAAAATTTAATTATTTTATTTTAATTTTTTTCATATGAAAAATGTAAAGTTACATATTTATCATTTAATAATTGGTCAACAATTGGTCAGACATTTAATTATTGGTCAACTAACGGTTTCTGTCAATTTGGACTTCGGGTGTAAACTGTTTGGTACCGTGAGTGGCACAAATGAAAGGTTTGGGCAAAGTTTACAAAAAAGTGAAAGGTTTGATACTGTGACTGCAATTTTCCCTAAAATTAATGAGGAGCATGTATCAAACCGTTTTGAGGGAAAATGTGGAAAAACCCTAACAATTCACATTTTCTGTTGAGTAATGTTATTCATCCCCAGTAGGGATGAAAACACAGTTTAGGTAACTTTAAATGATAGGTTAAATGAAAGGTGAAATTAAATGACTTATTTAATTTCACCTATAATTTAATGCCACATGAATACCACGTAGACTGTATTTTCATCTTCAGTGGGGATGAATAACATTACTCTTTTTTCTTTCTTGGTACTTCAAAAATCAACTGGGAATGCATTTGAAGAAAACAAGAACGATGCATTTCCTAACTACATAAAAGAGGCAGTATTTTTTTTGCCACTTGTCGAATCCTCATGATGTTACCAAAAACGACGTCATTTCGTATGAAGCATTCAATATGGAAATCTGCTGTCTACCACTCGCTTTTTACATTGTCGGAACCCTAGCAATCCTCTTGCCTTCTCCAACCGCACGCGAAATCCCATATATCGGATTTCCCATTTTCCCTTCATTTGCCCGTCATTCCCCCAAACCCTCGATTTTCTCCTTCTCAATCCGACAATGAAAATTCTTCCCAGCTGCACTCAACAACAGCCTTCGTCGCCACCGTACTCTGGGTTCGATTCCTTCGTCTTCTATATATTGTTTCTGGTTTTCACTGTTCATTTCTGCCGTTTCATTTTTTTTTTCGTTCTTTGAAGAGGACTTCCCCTAGCTGTGTAGCCAATTAAGCCGACGCACCTTGAATCTGGGTCCTGCCTTCGTCGCCACCGTAGCAACAAATTCCAGAGGCAAGTCGACTCTGGGTTCGATTCCTTTCTCTTCTATATATTGCTTCTGGTTTTCTGGTTTTCACTTTTCATTTCTTTTTTGCTACTGCTTGTTGCCATAGACTCACGGTGGAGGAGCGCAACCACCTCTCGGTGGCTTACAAGAACGTCATCGGCTCGCTCCGCGCTGTCTGGCGCATAGGGTTACAAAACCCCCTACTGCTTTGTTTTCAAGAATCAAAAGTTGGGGTGCCCACCCTCTAATGATTAGTCCTTTATCTTTTGTTCTTTCCTCTAATCCTTCACGCAACCAGTTTTCTTTTTCATCTTCTTGGTTCTTGCCTTTTCTAACAGCCCAAATGAATTTCTGGCCTGAGATTTTAAGACCCTTTGCAATTTCATGTAATTGTTTTTCAGTAGAGGTTGCCATACTTTCAGGACAGATATAAACTACAGAATTTGGTTCCTTGGAGTTGAGCCATTCCAAGCACTGCGCGCATATTCCTTTTTTTTTCCTTTTTTCCATTTCTCAGGTGCTTTCAAGGATTATATTGGTACTCTTTCCCCAAATTTTGTTTATTTATGATTCTATTAAGCAATTTGCTGTTAATTACTGTTAAGATTTATTTTTGACAACCTTAACAATGAAATTGTGGAATTTTTGCAAATTTCCCCAATTTTAGTTATTTTTATGTTGAATTTTTAGAGTGAACATGATTATATTTTGTTGTTAAATAGTATAAAGATTGATTTTTGTGAACCTTAATGAAATTATGGAATTTTTTTGCACAAGGTGTGACATTTATTTTACCTGACACTTGCAAAATTGTTTACTTTAATGTTGCCAAATCTTTATATTAGTGCTACCTTTTAAATTGTTTTTTGTTTAATGTTTTAGTGCAATGTTGGAACTTGGAAATTCAATTAGAAATTTCAGATCCGTTTGTGCTTCTTGTTTTTAATGGGTAGTAAAAGTACAGGGTTCTACTTCTCGATCTTTTGTGGAGCTATCCTGACTTCAAATGAGGATGCTTTGATGGGAAATGATTGATTTTTTTGATATTATGGAATTTGTAAAAGCATTTTTAGAAATAACTATAATGCATTTATGCCGTACTTGAAAAACTATCTTGATGAATGCTATCCAAGTCTAATTGGATGCATGTAATGCATTGGGGTGGTTAAAAATGAGAACTTCAAAGAGGATGCCAAGCAGGTAAATAACGAAAAACTTAGTATTGACTGTGTTTCTTATTGAATTTATTACTTGATAATCAATTTGTGACTTGGTCAATTTGTAACTTTTATTTGTTGTCTGACCAGAGATGTTGACTTTGAAATTATAGTAGTGGATGATCTAAATATGACAGCTGCTAAATATGAAGAGATATTCTCTTTTATGTTATATTATATAAAATTGTGAAGTTGTATTTTAAATCTACACTATGACCAATGGTTTTCTGAGACAACTGATTGCTTTGTTATGTACTTCTAAAATGAAAAAAAATGAGAAAAAGGGTTCTGCAGTCCTATTTCATTATATACAATGCTAGAAAACTGTAGCTTGAGCAAGAGAGAAAATTGGTTTCTAATTAATACTATTTAAGATAACTAGATGATTAACCAAACGACATGATTCATTTTAACTTCAGCTAACGTTTGTGAATTTAATTTGCTTCTTTCCTTTTTGCTCATTTTGTAGTGTTTGCTTGGCTTTTCTTTTAGTTATAATCTAATTAGATGTTTTTTCTTTTTCATGTTTGTCTACAGCTAAAATACTTGCAGAGCTTCATCAAATAAGAATAATTACAGAAAACGCTTTGAGCTTTGTATTCTAAATATGTTTACTAGCTGAAAATTTCTTGAGTTCAGGAAATAGATAGAGACAGGTGCGAGCATAGTCACTGGAACTCGTTATGTTAAAGGTGGTGGTGTGCTTGGATGGAATTTTATGTGTAAATGGATGAACATAAAGTCAAATGTCCTTGTGCAGACTTTTCTTTGGCCGAGTATATCAGACTTAACTGGATCATTTTGGTACAGTCAGATTTTATTTTATTATTGTTTTTTCAAGAACAATTAATTAATGTCATTTTTCTTTTGATTATTATTGTTGGGTTTG